CAGCTCCGGGGTGTGTTGCTGCCTGATTTATTGTTATTTTTCGCTTTATAATTATTATTGTTATTATTTTGCTCCTCTCTCCCCACGAAGTGGCTGGTGGCACAGGCACAACCTCAGTGTCTAGCAACTTAATTACAGGTTGCTAATGAGCGACTGCAGAGCGAGCGGCTCCTTTAGCAGCCCGGCCTGGTGCTTTATCGTGTGTTTGCAGGAGTCGGGTAATTTTTTGTCATCATATATGGTAATATATTCACTGCAGCATGACATGGGATGAGGTTCAATGAATAATGTAAAACCCAGAATAACGCTGAATCCATATGAGATGTGCTTTTCCCCCCGGCGTTGGTTTAGAAAGGAAAATATTGATTCTGGTGGGGTTCAGCGGTTCAGAGCTCTCGCAGAACTCACGTTTTGCTGATCGATGCCCACCCTGTCCCCTCCACGGCCACAAATGTCCTGCTGCCGCTGCCATCCCTCACCTCGTTAGTGCTGACAAAGCTGGGAAGGGTGGGAAAGGGTCTGTGACATTTGCCACTGGATCCAGATGTGACAGTAGCACAGCAGGTTCTGTTGGGGTTCAGGTACCAGGTGGAGCAGCCCTCTCCATTACACATCATTCCTCCCCCCCAGTTACTGTCTTTGAATGCTAATTAGGATGGATAATTTCTATTTGTTTTCCTTTTTAACCAAATTCCTTCTATTCCGATCTGTATCATTTATATTTGTGGGCCATTATCTCAGTCTCATTACAGCCTTTTAGCATTTGAATGAAGATATTGTACAGAACCCAGAAGTTAGGCATAAAATGTCTGTGCTGATAACTATAATTGTCATGATAAAATTAAAAAGACAATAGAAATAACTGTGATGAGCTCAGGAAGTTGTACCAAGTGAGATTGGAACCAGCATGATGATGTTTGCCCCTTTTTTTTGACTCTTTACACAGTAAACAGCTTTTGCAGCGCTATTTTGAAGAAGGGGGAAGTCGCTGAGTATGGCCTGGGTAGGGCCATAATGAAAAATTTGGATTTTTCTCTCTGTTGAGGTTTTAATTAATCACTACAAAAACTCTGGGCGATGCACGTGCGATTTTCAGGAGCTTAAAATACTCCGGCAGCGCCGGAGGAGGAGGAGGTGCTAAACGGTGCCAAGTTCCTGAATGAAAATTACTCTCCCTGCCTCTGGTTTTGGAGCCAGATCGATGTTAATTAATCCCTGCCTCACACGTTACCTTCTCCAACCTCGCCACCGTCGGATTTTTGACTCGGCAAAAAAAGCAGACGGAGGTTCCCGAAGCGCCTCCAAAATTCCCAGCCGAGCGCTCTCCTCGGTGACAACGCCAATTTGCCGTGAGTGAAATGTTTGATAAAAATCTGTCAGTTTTCTGAGAGGAGTTTTCCTTGAGAGGAAAACCAGGGGGAAAAAAAAGAAATCGGCTCTGTCTCGAAACATCTCCTCGCTCCGTTATCTTTATCTTGCGAGAGACGGGGATGGAGAAAGGGGGTTTCCTTGGGCACGGGGGAGAGGTGTTGGTAAGTTTTCCTGGAATTAGGTGGCATTTTGCTGCAGGCCTCATATGAGGTCTCCAGATTTTTATGTTTCTGGTGGGTTTTATGGACAGCTTGTTCTCCAGGTCCTGGCTCTGCACGGACCAGCTCCAATCCCAAGGTACACGGATGCATCACTGACCTTCTGCAGAGATTCTTCTGGCAGGGCTGAGGTTATTCAGCAGTCACTGCAGGTGTTGGTGCCTCCAGGGCAGTGATGTACAGCTCATCCATGTGCTCAAGCTGCATTTAATCAGCCACCAACTACTATTATGTGTTGCAGGGAGATCGGTTCCCTTTGGAGTCACGATGCTGAAGTTGAAGTGATTTTTCATAGAATCACAGAATCATTCAGGTTGGAAAAGCCCTCTAAGCTCATTGAGTCCAACCATTCCCCCAGCACTGCCAAGGCCACCACTAAACCATGTCCCCAAGTGTCACATCTGCAGGTCTGTTTAAATCCCTCCAGGGATAGTGATTCCACCACTGCCCCGGGCAGCCTGTGCCAGGGCTTGGCAACTTTTTGACCCCAACTTGACTCTCTGTTACCAGTCTCTGGTGGGCCTGGCCCTTGGGGGTGATGGTTGGGATTTTCAGCCTGATCTTGAAGGATTTGGGACATTTTTTGGCCGTGACTGTCTGTAGCTGACTTGCTTCAGAGCCATAACCTCCGGAGTGGGACCTCCAGGCCCAGGAAGCTGGAGATGGGACACGTGATACAGGTTTGGCCTCCAGTGGAGGCTGAACAATTTGAATCAGCCTGAAGAGACCTTCTGATCCAGGCCTGGGTGGGAAGGGTCCCTCCTGGCCCTGCAGAAGGGTCTTGGCTAGGGAGGGTTGAAGGAGGTTGGCCAGTTTGGAATAAAGGGCCAGATCTCCTGCACTGACACTGGCACCTGTCCCTTTCTCAGCACTAGTGGCAGCCAGGATCGACAGAAATACCTCCCCAGCCATGCCTTCCTCCTGGATAAGGGCCAGGGACCACCACCAGATACAGAGTTATGGCTTGATCCAGAGCAAGGAGAGGAGACCCAGACCCCAACTCCAGTTTAACACAGAGACACAACTCAATGCCCGGAGCCCAGCAGCACCACACAAACCTGGCTGAGGCATGTGCCATCTTTTACTTAACCAGCACCATTTTTTCTTGTGCCTTCCAAAGAGATTGTTAATCGCCTGGGAATCCCTGCGGGTGGCATTGGTGGGTCAAAGAGCAGCAGTGCTGCTCTGTCTGGCTGCACTGACGGCTGCTGTGGGTGTGGATGACGCTGCTGGGCCACCATTAGTCAGCAGAAGTCAGGTAGAGCCCAGCCCAGCATTCCCACTCACTCAGCGGGCTCCTCTGCCAGGGAGGAGGCTCCGAGGAGCTGCTCCTGGGGAGCCTGGGGCTTGTGCAATGCCCGTGACGTGGAGAACCTCCTCCCTCTGCTTTGGTTCTCGGCACTGCGACTCAGCACCTTCCTGTGCCGTGGCACGTCACACCAGGGCCACGGGTACCTTTGCACTGGGGAGCAAGGATTTGCACATACAGAGCAGGATTAAACCTGCAGGTGCTCCCAAAGCTGGCAGTGATTCCTTGCTCCCGTGGCCGTGGCAGCGTTCCCGCTGCATCCTGAGCTGAATCGGCAATGGGCTCGCTCCGACTTGATCCCCAGGGAGGGGAGTTGTGCAAACAGGGAGCGATGGGAGGTGATGCAGATCCTTCCTGGGGTTCCAGGAGCCGAGGTGGGTGATGGCAGGGGCTGGGGCAACGGGGGCATCGCACAGCTGGCAGCGGTGCTGGGGGCAGTGCCCCGGGCTGCATGGCACTGCCAGCCTGTTGCAATGAGAACCAGGGCTTGTTGCACAACAAAACCGGCTCCCTTCCCCTTCCAAAGCTGCTGGCGAGGAAGCAGCAGGATAGGGAGGGGGCAATGCCCGGCAGCACAGCGTGGGGCCCAGAGGGTCACAGGGTGGGTGATGACCTGGTTTATTGACCTGGGTGTATGAGGTGGCTGTGGCTGCATCCCCTCCTAACTGGGGCAGCTCACTCCTCCCGTGGCTGTAGTGTCACCCACTTCCCAAAATCGTCAAGGCCCGTGGACATGGGGTGTGCCTCAGTTTCCCCATGCCTGAGATGATGCTGCTGTAGGGCGGGGGAGGTGTGTTCAGGGTGGCTGGCAGAGGCTTTGCATGCCATGCGCTGTTGTAAAATGGAATATTGATGATTTTTTTTGTCTTGGATTGTGTTTTCTGATCTTTGTGCAAGTGTTACCTTCCTGGGCACAGTGAGAGAGGTGTGTGCCAGCAGCGTGCTGGGCCTGCCTGTAAACCATCCCTGGGCTGTCTGGGCAGTGTTCATCTAGAGAGAATAACAGCAAAGAGACAGGCACAAATTTATAAACCCAAAGTGCTTCTGCCCAGTTCTTACATCTTTGGTGTGAATAACTTCAAAAAAGTGGGTCTGATGTGGAGGGCTTGGAAACAGGCAGCTCAGGCAGCAGGGTGAAGGCAGGTAATAGTGCAGTATGGACTGTAGAGAGCAAAAATACTTATATTAGGAAAAATTTGTTCACTGAAAGAGTGGATAAGTATTGGAAGAGTCTCCCTGGGGAAGTGGTGGAGTCACCATCCCTGGATGGAAAGCGAGGGGACGTGGCACTTCGGGATATGGTGTAGTTGGCATGGTGGTATTTGGTTGAAGGTTGGACTTGATCTTGGAAGTCTTTTCCAACCTTAATGATTCTCTGAAAAAGCCACACGAGTCTGCTGGGTTTCACAGAGCTGGGTTGTTGCGGTGTATTTTTATTACAAAAAGCAGGTGGTCACCGCTTTCTCCACGGGATTTTCTGTGTCCCCCATCCCACGTGGATAAAATGACATTAATAACAACCGCACCGTGGGCAAGAACATCGCCTGTATTTGCCTTGCAAAGGACGAGCCGGCCCGGGCTGTTCGCTGGCACCGGGGAGTGTCACCCCCGTCCTGCCTCAGTGCCCCCCCCGTGCCGGCGGCGCTGGCCGAGTATCGCGACCATCGCTCGCGATGGTGCCGCTGGGACGCGGCGGGCGCTCGGCTCGGTGGGTGGCAGCGGCGGGAGCGATGGATGATGATTCCAGCCGGGAATCATTTCCGCCGCCGGCCGGCCGCGGGTTCCTGCGCGGCGCGGGGCTCCCGGAGAAGCCCTCGGCGGCCGCTGCTGCGGGGCCCCGTCCCGCACACCTTGGGGCCGTGCGGGGGCAAAGCCACTCCTCCCGTGCCGTGACATCAAGCCCTGCAAGAGCGACCGGCGAAGGGTCAAATTCCCGGCGCAGGTAGCGCTCGGCTGCACTTCCGCGCGGCGCCGTGTCGTGCCGGGGAGGACCCACCCCACGCCGGGACCCCCATCCGCGGGGACCCCCGAGCCCGGGGACCCCCGCCATGAGGTCGGAGCAGGAGGAGAACAAGCCGGGGAGCTGCCGCTGCGAGCAGGGCTCCGCTCCGCGCCCGGCCCATTGTCCCCGCGGGCGGCGAGGGGCGGCCGGCGACGATGCTCGGGGCAGGGTGCTGTGCCCCTGCTTAGCCCACGCAGGTAAGGGGGTCCCCCGGGGGAGGGGGGTCCCCGGCGTGGGGGGGAGGACGCAGCCCGGCGTGCACGGCTTCCCCTCGCTCGCTTTGTGCTTGGAGCTCGCTTCCTCCTGGGAGAAACAAAACAACGCCTGGGAGCTGCCCGGGGCCGCGGGGAGGTGGCGGGGGGCGGCCGTGCTGTCCCCACGCCCCGTGGCGAGAGAGGGGCAGGGGCGAGGGGCTTCGTGCCCCCGTGGCCGTGGGGAGGGTCGGGGCGGGCGGGTCCCGGTGCCCCGTTGTCCATTTTGTGTCGCGGAGAAGTTGGAGCGAGCCGGGAGCTGGCGGAGGGCTCCCGGCCGGCTGCGGGGGCTGCCGCGGGGGTCTTAGCCCACTGGCCGGTGGTGTCGTATGGTGTGTGCTTCTGGAAGCCCTTCACAACCCCCAGCCTGGCCCCGAACCCCTGTGCCCCCCGAACCCCGCTGCCCCCCCACCCCCTCCTGCCGGCACAGGGGTTTATATCAGGTTTTATTACATCCCACCAGCATGTGGCCAGGGCAGACGAGAGAGTAGGACTCTGTGTGGTGGAAATAATCATTATTTTTGAAGATGGGGAGTGCCAGGAAACAGGGGGTGACTTGGCAAGCAGGTGGTCTCTGCATGTCCTTCCCCATCGGTGCGAGCACTGGTTGATGGTGTGAGGTCGCGGCTCATGACAGGGGGTCCTGTCCTGGAGCTGTGACCATGTGGAAGCTCCAAGGCCAAGCTGGTGTCTAACTCAGGAAGTGCTCTGAAATGGTGTTTGACGGATTTGGTCTCACTGGGTGGAAGCTTTAACCCAAAATTGCTAAGGAGTGTCTGTACCCATGTCCAGGTGTGACAGCTCGCTCGCTTGCAGCACCGCTGCAGCAGCAGGGGGTGGCATTAAAAGCTTCTTTAAAAGTAAAAGATGGACGTGTGGAGCCAAAATCCACGTTTTTAGCCCAAGAAGCTCTGCTGAGCACCCTGGTGCCCATCCAGAAGGAGCCAACAGCTCCTCTGAAGTCATAGGGGGCACCTCAGTGCTGCAGGAGATGTTCCAGGGGATGTGCTGGGGATGCACAGCAGCAGGACTGCACTGAAGTGGTGATGGACACATTGCAGGCCCTTGTGCTTATCCCCTTCTCTTCTTAACCTTTATTTGGGGGGAATTGGGTGCTTACTGTAATTCCTGACCACCCAGGGGAGAAGGAGGCATTGCCTCACTTGGACAAGCCCCATCAGTCCTTCCAACGCCTTCCAAATCTGCTGCAAGCAGGCAGCAATGAAATTAATGTAATTTAAACATTTCCCAGACTAATTGATGAAAACTACCATTCCCGCCGAAATAATTGGCTGTTAATTATATTTCAGTTGATAGCATTAAACTTCTATGACACTGCTGGATTCTGCATCCTTTATGCTTCAGCCACTGATTGGTGTTAACAGACAGCGCAAATCAGATTTTTTGGAGTTTTCGTGATTGTGGTGAACACCTCCAGACAGCATTTGGGGCTGAAGTTTCCACTCCTGCTCCTGCAAATCCCATCTTGGCCTCCTCTGGGCAGCAGATCCACTCTCTGTGCAGCGGCAAAGCTTTTTGCTGGCCTTGGAACAGGCATCACTTTAAAGACATCCATTTAAAAGCCTTTTTTTCCCCCGTGTAACTCAGCTGACACGATTGCTGTACACAGAGGGGACGTATGAAAGATGGATGCAGTACAAACGACAGGGCTCGTGCTGGTAAATTACTGTCTCAGGTGAAAGCTGCATTTTGTGCCGCTTTTGTGAGTTTACCGGTGAGATGGTTTTTGCTTTGCTGGGCACGAGTCAAGGGGGGGATTTTATCCAGGATGTCAGCAGGATAAATACACATCTGCATACACCTCTGTCCTGAAACGGGAAATGGAAGGGTTGTAAAGAACATTACTAGAAGAAAATAAGGATTCAAGACCTAGAGATGAGTTGAGTTTGTATTTTAAAGAGCATCTCTGATTGTTAAGTAGCTCCCCAGCTTGGGACCCCCCTCTTGCAAAAGTGCAGAAGCTGGAAAGAGAATTCTGACAAGGACATGGAGTGACAGGCCAAGGGGGAATGGCTTCACACTGAGAGAGGGAAGGGTCAGATGGGATATTGGGAAGAAATTCCTCCCTGTGAGGGTGGGGAGGCCCTGGCACGGGTTGCCCAGAGAAGCTGTGGCTGCCCCATCCCTGGAAGTGTCCAAGGCCAGGTTGGACGGGGCTTGGAGCAACCTGGGCTGGTGGAAGGTGTCCCTGCCCAAGGCAGGGGGTAGAACTGGATGGTCTTTAAGGTCCCTTCCAACCCAAACCATTCTGGGGTTCTATGACATTGGTAGCAGCCCTGGGAGGGAGTTGGAAAGAGGAACTTTCCTTTCAAGCCTTGGCTGCATGGATTGTGCTTTCCAATTTTATATATATATAAAGATATATATATTCAAAACTGATTTGGCTTTACCATATAAATAATAATAATATATATATATATATCTCAAATATAACTATATATTGCACAGCATAATCCATTTTTGTACAGATATGTATATCTCAAATTATATCTATAAAAAAGTAAGAATTTAGGATATATGGCTGATCCCAGGTTCAATAATTCATGTTCTCCATAGACTTTGGCTTGCAGCTGGTGGCATGGGGAGCGTGGTGCCTCATGCTCCTCTCCAGATTGCATTTACAGCTTCCCACAGATCTTGGATTCTAATCCTTCAGCGGTTTCTACTGGGAGTGGGAGCTGAGCATGAAGTTGGGGATGAAATTCCCTTGTTGCCTGCTTTGGAGGATGGATGCTTTGGGGTTTCTTCACTATTTTCTAACTGGGACCAGAGGGGAATGGTGCAGTTCTGGCAGACTGCACTGTACAGTGTGTTATAGCAAGGAGTTTTGGGGCCCAAGGACCCCTCTGGGAGTCTCTGCTGCAGAATTCCCCCCTGGACTGCCTGTTCTTGGTCTTGTTTCCCCTCTCCCTTCCCGAGAGGGGTCCCTGCCATGTGGGGATTTTCTTGGTTCCCACCAAAATGCTGCAATTTCCAGGAATCCATTGGGATTGGTGCAAGCTGCCCTGCCCCATCCTCCTATGCTGGTTATTTTTTTCCTGGGAATACCCCTCTGTGTCTCCTGGGTGAAGTGGCATGTAAGGAAAGGTGGAAATGAGTTACCAGTGGGGGAAAAAAATGAGCGATTTGTTGCAGCCGGGGGTGTTTTATGGGACTTTCTGTGTCCGGGGAAGGCACAGGGTGAGTGTTACACAGTAAATATTCCACCGTGTATGAGCCCTTCACATCCTCTCCGGGTTCCCAGAGGCTGGAGGGGACATTTCTGCCATCCCTGGGGAAGATCCTGTTGGCCTTGGCTGCCTCTGTTTTGCACGGATTTCAAGAAAAGACTTTGGGCTGCACCAAACCCCCCGGCCCGGGGCTCGACTGTTCCTCGTTAGTGACTTTATTGCTGAATAATTTACAGAATGGGGCCTTGCCAGTTTTCATTCGGGAAGCATTTCAAGTATGTGAACCAGATTTTATGCCTTCCTGGCGCAGCTGCCGGGGAGGAGCCGCCTCTCCCTGTCCTGCCGCCGGCGTCACCTCCCGGCCGAGCGGTGCCGGAAGGGAAGCGGGCAGCACACGTGCAGAGGGACCCAGGAAAGAAATAAGGGGAAAAACCCCGATATTCCACGCCCAGTTGGTGTCCCCTGGGCTGGCTGCTACACGGGGACACTGGGGAGGGGACCCAATTGTGGTAGCTTGGAGAGGGGTGCGTGGTTTTAATTTTTGTTTAATATTTCTTGTGACCGTGGAGTGTGTGTCGAGGTGGGTATTTTCTTCTCCCCATGTCCATGGGCACGGTGCAAACCTGAGAGGATGTGGATGTCCCATCCCTGGAAGTGTTCAAGGCCGGGTTGGACAGGGCTTGGAGCAACCTGGTCTAGTGGAAGGTGTCCCTGCCCATGGCAGGAGGGTTGGACATGCTTGTCTTTAAGGTCCCTTCCAACCCAAACCATTCTGTGATTCTGTGAAATCAATAAGCTACTTTGGGATAAGTAAGGGCTTTTCTCTGCTTGTGTTTTAAAGGGGAAGGAAAGCAAACCAAACTTGGCTGGAGGATTGCAGGGGTGCGCACACAGCCCCAAAGTGTTTTGCAGGATGAGGGCAGTGGGTGCAATGTAGAAATGGCATTATTATTACATTATTATTACATTAAACAGTGGATGTGGCTGTAGGAAAAGACGTGTCTGGAGCTTTCCTCCAGCGCCTGTTGTGGAGAGGATCCAGGCTGGGATCTGCTGGGATGCTCCTGCAGTGCAGCTGCTCAGAGGAGTGAGCAGTCACTGGGTGTAAATCTGCAAAATTCAGGGTTCAGGTCTGCATGTGGAAGTGTTGTCTTCCCTTTTCCTGTCTCATAGTGGGTTTGTTGGGCTTTGTTGAGTGTGCCCTGAGCACGTGGGTGGCAGAGCTGAGGTGTGTGGGACTTACTGGAGCTCAGGAGGCTCTGTTGGATCCCAGCCATGTGAGCACCCTGTCAGTGAGTGCTTTGCATGGAAAAGTGCTTCTTTGTTTATTATCCTTACATTAACATTTATTTTTAATTTTTTTAATGCAAAAGCAGCACCCCGTGGAGACTTCCCCCTCCCTCCCGGCGCCTTCCCGTGTCATCCCTCACCCTCCTTCTCTGTTCCCAGAATAAGGCAGGGTTTGGGCTTTGTGCAGAGCAGTTTTGCCGGCGGGGAGGGGTCACCCCGGCGGCGTTTCCCTGGGGTTTGAGTTTCCAGCGGGGGCTGTGCCGGGAGCCGTCACTCACTTCCTCGCATTGTGTCTCCTCTTCCTCCAGCGCTGCTGCGGGAGGAGGTGGCCCAGCTGCAGGAGGAGGTCCACCTGCTCCGGCAAATGAAGGAAATGCTGACCAAGGACCTGGAGGAGACGCACGGCAGCAAGTCCCCGGAGGTGCTCTCGGCCACCGAGCTGAAGGTGCAGCTGGCGCAGAAGGAGCAGGAGCTGGCACGCGCCAAGGAGGCTCTGCAGGGTAAGGCTGCGCCTCCTTCTTCTCCTGCACCTCTCCCCAGCACCCTGAACTTTCAAGGAGTTGTTTAATGAGGGAAGGGAAAGCCGTCCTTTTCATTTGGGCTGTGCAGAGTGCGCTCTCCATGTGCACGTGGTGGGGGGGTTTGGTCTCCCTGGGACCCCCTGATCTCCTGCCCCTGCAAGGGGGGGTGTGGGGCCAAGAGGGACTGGGGTGCAGTGATGGGCTGGGAAATGGGGTGTGGGGGCTGTTTGCAACATTGCAAAGGAATTCCTTCACAGCTGTAGAGCAGAGCCAGGGCAGCAGCTGAAATGCAGCTGGAGGTGGGGGTGGGTTGGATTTGAGCCCCTCAGGCTTGTTAGGGAAGCAGTGAGTTTCCTGGTGACCACAATTTTCCTTATCCCGTGTGGAGTTACTTCCAGGTGATGTGCGGGATCTCCTCCTTCCTCCATGGCTGGTTTGGATGTTTTTGTGGCAGTCAGGGCCATGCTCTCCCTCCCTCACCAGCACAGCAAGCCCCAGGACTGGGCTGTGCAGAGCAAAACGCAACATTGCAGCTTTTCCACCCCAAAAACGAGCTGACAATAAATCCGGGCAGGATGGTTTGTTAGCTGGAGCCGGGGGATGATCCTGAGCAGGGAAAGCTCTCACACGTCAAACCCTGGCAGCGCCGCGGCTCTAAATATCATCTCAAATCCCCAACATACCGAGTATAACTTGCACTTGTCAGCTCATGTTTGCGGATTATGAGGAGAAGCTGTCAGAAGTTTTCAGGCTCAGAGGCTGAGCAGCACGTGGGGAGCTCAGGGGGCCACCACATCTCCCCCTGTCCGGGATGCCGAGATGCTCGGAAAGGCAGGGAATTGGGCTGAGTCAGTGTCTGGGGAAGGGAGCTCAGAAAATTTTATGTGATCGCTGTCTGATTTACCAAAGCATCCCCCTATATCAGTAGCAGCCAAAATACCTTCCAAAATCCTGCCTCCCCCGACGCCAGCGGTGCAGCCTCCGGCAGCAGGAAATGCTCTGGGTTTATAGCACTGTAATTGGAGGAGAAAAACCTTAATTAGGGAATATTTCCTCTCTGCGTGTGGAAGGGGAACTGCTGATTAATGCAAAATGCAGAAAAGCAGAACTATTGTAATACATGTGCAAAAAAGAAATAAGAGCAAGAAGTCATCTAAGAAGCTGCAGTGAGGTCACACGAGCTTCTGTGGAGGAGAAAAAGTTAATTTGGCTTGAAAATCGTGATTATTTAAATAACGATTTAAATATTTAAATAATATAATGTTGGGGTTTTTTATTGGGCTTTTATTTGCCACAGTTGGAGCCCCTGGGGTTGGTTTTCCAGGACTTCTCCGCAGGTGTGGTGCCTAGGGAGAGGGAATGTCAACTGGCACTTGGAAAGGCACATTGCGTGAAGCCTTTTTCAGTCGATGCTTCTTTCCCTCCTCTGCAATACTGGGAGGCTTTTGAGTCGTTTGGAAAAGCTGGCTGGGCTGGATCTGGGCTGGAGGCGCTGGGCAGCAGAGCAGGTTTGGCACAGTGACTGGGACGGATAAAGTGAAAACGGGATCAGCAGCTGGAGGGGGGAAAAAAAAGTCCTTTTTCCTTTCCATGAAAAATTGTCCGTAGAGAAACGTAGCCAAAAGGGGAAGAAAACCGGCGCCTGGTGACTGGTTCTGCCAGGAGAAATGCATCTGCTGATGGACACACTGAGGAAGTGGTGGCTCTGGGTTAAGGAACTGTGGGACAAGCCAGAGCCAGGAGCGCAGGGAAACTTGGCCCTGCTGTCCTGTAGTTCAGGGATCTGTGACAGTCGTGTTCTGCGGGCAGAAAGCACCTCCCAAGAGCAGCTTCCCGCTCACAGCCTGCATTCCTGCCTCCCAGCATCCCTGCCTCCCTGCACCCCTACACAGCCCCGTGTCCGGCAGCATCGGCCGCACCATCCCTGTGCCTGCAGCGTCCCGCGATCCACGCTGGGTCCTGCGGAATGTCATTAGCAGATAGATTCTATGGAAAGCTGTCATCGGTGCTGGCTCGGAGCCTGGAAGTGCAGCGCAGCTGGTTCCGATGGATCTTGGCTCGCCGGGCCGTGCTGCGGAGGGGGTTTGCCAGTGGGGTTTGCTGTTGGGGGCTGCAGCACCTTTTAAGAGCCTTTATTTTGCGGGGCCTCACAGGGTTTGGTTTGTGACGGTCTGGGTGGAGGGTCCCCCTTTGGAGGTGCATTCCCAGCCCTTTCCAACAGCATTTGGCACAGGGATAGAGCTGATCAGACCGTGCAGCATCTTCCCTGTGCCGGGTTACCAAGCCCTTGCTGCGGAGGGAGGGAGCAGGGATCTGGCCCAGCACAGGATGCTCTGCAGGATTAACTCGACCAATTTCTGTATCCCTGGCAGCATGTGCTTTATCCATCGTTATTCCACTTTTTCCTGGGCTAATTCCAGCCCTTGCACTTTTTTTAAAATCAATTAACATCTAATTAAAATTCCACAGTGCTACATCCTATGTCCCTCTCCTCCTTTGCCGGGACTGGGACTCTGAATCGTGCTCCCAGCATCAATGCAGTTATTATTATTTCCCCAGCCCTGGCTGGAAAGTTATGGATGTGGTCTGGATTTCTGATGTGGGAATCCCCAAAGGGAGAAGTTGCAGACAGCTTTATTACTGCTGGTCCTGCTGTGGGCAGGGACGGTGCCCGAGCGCCTGGGGGGCTCGAGGAGCCTCTTGGCCAGGTGACATCCATGAGCATGTGGGCTAATGGCAGAAACCCCATTTCTAGGAAGGTTTATCCCATATGCTGGAACTCGCCTGCAGGATTATCATGCGGAGAGCAGACCTGGTTTCTGTTTCCTTTCTGAGTGCCAAAGTGGAAACCTCAGGCTACCTTTCCCTGCTGCTCGGGAAGGTGTGAACTGACTTTGTGTCTGCTCCACAAATAGGTGGTAGCCTGGTCTCCTCCCTCCCAAACCCGCATCTTGGAGCTGTGACCTTCCCAGGGGTGGTGTTTGGGCTGGGAAGAACCTCCTGGAGGAACTCACAGCACCCTCAGATTGCTGCAGTGATGGGGTGGGTAGCAGAGAAATGGGTGGATGGGTGTCCCAGAAGATGGATGTCCTGGAAGACGAGTGTCCCAGAGAATAGATGTTCTGACAGATGGATGTTCCAGCCATGGACCCAAGCAGGGAAACCTTTTCCATCGTAAGGACATGGAGCTCTGTACAGAAAACCTGTTGTTCTCTTTTGAAGACCCACCTTACATTTTCAGAAGTCATTGGTCACCTTGTTGGCCCTTGGGGTCAGGTTTGGAAAGCCCTTGGCCTCGTAACAGGGTGTTTCCAGGTAAATTCCCGAAGGTGAAACGCCTCTCCTAGCTTTTTCCTGAAATTTGACTTTGGACTCTAATTTCCTGCCCGCTCCATGCCTCTGCACCCCCAGGAGTGAGTGCTGGCTCTGCCTGACACCACGTAACATCGACATCTTCAACGTCAAGATCTTCCTGACGTGGCGGCTGCAGCCAAGGAGCGAACGCGCCGGTTTAGGTACAAAGCAAGGAACAGCTCTGAGATCCCTGCACAGGGCTGACCGATTTTATGGGTTAGTCATGGTGGCAATATTGAATTTCATGGCTGGGAGGGAGAAACAGGAGAAATTAAGTGAATGTTAATGGGACAGGATGGGTTTACACGTTCCTGTTGCGCGGGGCATCGCTGAGGTTTGAGCGGTGCTCCCTGAGGATGCCCTTTGCTGCGTTCCAGAATTCAGGGTATGATTCAGTAAGTGATAAAGGAAGCTCTTGATTCTGTTCCTGGCATGAAAATTCACATTGTATGGGGCGAGAGAAGGGCTTGGAAGTGGATGGGAGTCATGGGAAGCTGCTCTTTGGAGGGTCAGAGGCAGGCTGCATCTGCTGCCAGTGCCCTGATGTGTGTTTGGGCTCTGCTGCCTCATTCCGGGAATGTGAAGCTGGGCAGAGATGATGTTTCTGTGTTTTTCATCTAATATCATGTAATATCAAGGTGATAAAACTAATTGTTATGTCCTCCAACAGCTCATCTGGATGGTGTGGCCACCATCACCTGACATGGCCAGGAGTTGGACATCAGTGATCCGTGTGGGTCCCTTCCCACTCAGGATATTCTATCATTTATTTTCCCTTAATTTGATATTATTAATTTCAAAGGGGAGGGGTGGTATTTATAGCAGCCCCCATCCTGAGGGGAGGTGCCTGGTTTTAGGATGCAGGAGCTAATTCCCAGCTGGAAGTTGTTAGATGGTGAGGCCAGACTGGGGCCACGTAGTAGTAGCAGCCATCAGTGGTGGCATCACTGGGTGGTTCCATCCCTGCTGCTGCCTCAGACAAGGCTGTGCCGCTCCTGTGGAGCAGCCGGATTTTGGCTCATCACGTAGAGCTGGAAATAAAAGGCACTGAGGGCGTGGATTTTTAATTGTTTTGGCAGCAGGAAGAGCCCAGCACAGAGCTGGTCCCGTTACGTCTGTGTCCATCATCCTTCTCCCAGAGGACCAGTGCTCAAGGGATGGATCATGTGGCAGGAGGTGGAAGCTCAAATAACACAGGGTGACTTGTGCAGGTGGGGATAGGGGGGTGGAGTGAGAGCTGAGGGGTTCACCCAACCCATCTCCCCCATCCCTTGCTGCCGAGGCTGGTGCTGAGCTGCCGAGTCCAGAGGGGGCTGGTGGGTCCCCCCCTCTCCTTCTGCCACGTGCCTTGGGTAGGAGGGGAAAATAAATAATGCAAATAAGAGAATTACTTTCCACTCATGGTCTGGGTTTAGGATTTCTTGCTTCTTGTCTTGTGAACAGGTCGGAGGTTTGGCCAGAGCCCCCCACGCCGATGAGCTGGGCGGGAGTTTATTTGGATATTCGTGGGGGGGGTGGGATATAGAAAGCTCGCCCTGGATCATCAGATTAAAGGAAAAAGCCATTTCACCTCCTTGGATGGCCCAGATAGCCAGTGAAAATCTGCTTTATTCCTCCTTGGCTGGCCCTGCCGTCGCGCCGTGGATTGCAAAGGCTCGTTTTCCCCGACCGAGTAATTAGCTGGGCTTGTTTGCTGAGGAGGAATTAAGCTGCTGCAGCAAGTGGGGTTTGGTCCAGGAGCTCCTGGCAGCCCTCGTGGCTCACTTCTGCCTCACTTTTTATTTTTCTCCTGCCTTTTTCAATTAATTTCCCATTAATTTGGTTTGGAATGAAGTTCTCAAATGACTGATAAATCTTCTTTAAGCTTAGGAGCTAATCGGTTTTGGAGGAGGGAGAGTAATAGAGGGGAGGGAAAAAAAAGTGTGTTAATTTTAGCAAATCTCTCAAATATGAACTGAAACAAATGGCAAATTGTCCTGTTGGGTTAACAGAAAAAAAATCTACTCTTGCAATACCCAAACTTCTTAATCTTCTTGCAGTACTGATGCATTGGCATAAATATTGGTAAATATTAGTAAGCTGATATATATGCAACCTTGGGAGATAGTTACCCTTCTCCTAATAGTACTTATGAGCACCTTTATTTTTTTTATGGGTGAGTGATGAAGTGTTTTCTGTAAATCTTTAAAGGCCCTGAATGCTGCCACTAATTAAAGGAATTTGTATGCTATGGGGGACTCACTATTTAATTAAATTCGTTGGGAGTCTTTTGTCACCTCCAGCATCAAAGAGTGGCAAATGTGACTTAAACTTTTATAAGAGCCTCTCATTATCCTCGAGGAAATTAAATATATGTGAATATGTGTCTGTGGGGTCTGGATCTCACCCCGTTATGGCTCAGTCAACTTATCATTAATTTTTCTTTTTCAGCAAGTTTTTAGTTCCAGTGAAAGAACTGGGCAGAGGAAGGTTGTGGTTAAATACACACAGGCAGCAGGAAAGGGCTTTTTCAAAGACTTAGATGTGGTTGTGATTGTTTTTAGAGGGTTTCTGTAGTGATTTCTTAAGCTGGGAATAAAAGTAAGGGAAGTCCCGGTGTCAGAAGGGGCTGAGTTGTCCCAGGAGGAGCTGTGTTCACTGAAGTGAGTGAAGAAGACTCCCAAGAGCTCCCTGTTATGGGACAATATGAATTTTTGTGGCATTTCCTACCTGGTTTTCTGTGTTTTGTTTTACCTCTGACGCTTAATGGCAGAGTAGTTTGTCTGAAGAGTTTCATCTCTTGGTTTCTAACAGATAAAAATCTCTGTTGTCCCAGACATCTCCCTCTTCTTCCGCTATTTAGTCTGATTTAATCATTTTTCCCACCTTTTTATCCTCTGATCTGCAAGCCCTCTCCCTTCCTCATGGTTCCATCCTGAGCACTTCCTTTATCCTCAGCGCACACTTACAGTAAAAAAAACAGTAAAAAAGTAGAATAAAACCAGTGCACAGAAGGAAGTTCCTACCTGAGTGAAGCTCTCTCTGAGCTGGTGGTTGTGACAAGCTGGGGTGGGATGCAGGAGGTGCACAGAGCTGGGTGAGTGGAGGGGCTGCTCTTATTTTGGGGGCTATTCCAGCACGTGTCAGGGCTGGGTGATCAGTGTTACCAGGTTATTCTGCCTGAGGGTGCCTGGGGGCTGCAGTGCACGTCTGGTAATGATGCTCTCCCTGCTTGCACACAGGTGGAAATGACTTGCTGAGGGTCCCCAAGCAGAGGAGGGTGGGAGCAGAACATCCCTGTGCTGGCACAAGGCAGAGGCACCAAACCAAGGGTGCCAGAGGTGCCTGAGGCAAATCAATCCCTTTGAAGCATGACAGGGTCGTGGTTTCCTGGTATTTCGTGTATATTGTCTTTATCCCACACGTGCCTCACCAGGGGAGACACGCTGTGCTGTGGTTTAAGCCCCCAGTGAAGTGACTCATCGCAGGGTGTAGAAAACACAGCGTGGGCTGAAACGCCCACCACGGATCTCTGTAATCTAATGGAAAAAGATGGGATGTGTGCATGGAGACAGGTCCCACTTGTGATGCTGCATCATCTTCTAGTGGGTTTTGTAGTGCAGGCAGCTCCTGGAGCTTTGGGGCTGGTTTTTCTGGTGAGTTCAAGGGGGTTTAGGGTATTTTTTTTTTATTATAGAGGGGCAACTTGCAAGACTCAGCTGATCACAGTGAGTGCAGGGAGTGTTGGAGGGGCAGATCGTGTTTCATACCATCCTGCTCCCTTAGGAACAGCACTTCCTCAGGATGGAAAATCATGAATGTATAATAAAAAGCAATATTTGTATTCTGATCCCTAAACTGGGTATTATTTTGGTGGGGATGGGGTGTATCTGGAGCAGGGAGCTACAGGGCATTTCTGCAGTGCTGCCAAGGACCAAGTTCAAGGTTGGGTAAAGCATTAATGTACAGAAATGACTGAAAGTCCTTCTCCTACCTCGTATTTCTGTAATTCCCCCTGGATTACCAGCCTTCCACCGCTGTCCCGGTGTCGGTGGTCAGCGAGCATCCCTCGCTGGTGACTGGGACAGGGAAAACTGGAAGGTTTTGGGTTCCTCTCAGTGCTGTTGAAACACCCCATTGCATCCTGTGGTGCTCCTGCTCTTTCCCCTCATCCCAACACAGCATCACTGAGCTGGAAGGGGACGCTCGGGGAGCCGTGCCCTGGGCTCGTGGGAGCGCTGCCGGAATCCGCCCCGCAGCTAAAAATAAACGGGCTGTGGTTTATTTATCCTGGAAAGGGAGCAGCAGGTTTTCCTGTGCCGGGCCCTGAGGCTGAGGCAGCAGTTTTGCTCCGGAATCTCCTTTTCCAGGGGGCTGAGCTGCCCCTTGGAAGGGGGGTCGATGATGAGGAGCCGTGGTGGTGACACGATGGGTGTTTTGGGGCTGCAGCAATTGGGGCGAATTTAGGGCGTCTTCTCCCAGCCCAGCCCCTGGGATCGTACTTTTGGTACTTTTTCATAGAATCATAGAATCAGCTGGGTTGGAAGGGACCTCAGAGATCATCGAGTCCAACCCTTGATCCACTACTGCTGTGGTTCTCAGCCCATGGCACTGATGCCACATCCAGTCTCATCTTAAAAACCTCCAGGGACGGAGAATCCACCACTTCCCTGGGCAGCCCATTCCAATGGCTGAGCACCCTCTCTGGAAAGAAATTCTTTTTAATATCCAACCTAAACCTCCCCTGGCACAGCTGAAGACCCAGCCCTCTTGTCTTGCTGATGGTTGCCTGGGAAAAGAGACCAACCCCCACCCGGCTACAACCTCCTGTCAGGGAGTTGTAGAGAGTGAGGAGGTCTCCCCTGAGCCTCCTCTTCTCCAGGCTGAGCCCCCCCAGCTCCCTCAGCCTCTCCTCATAGGACTTGTGCTCCAGTCCCTTCCCCAGCCTCGTTACCCTCCTCTGGACCTGCTCCAGCCCCTCAATATCCTTCCTTACGTTAGAAAATAAAAGATGTGGAAGCAAGGGGCTGCTGTGCCCTCCGTGCTCCATCCATCCTCTCTCCCACAGCCATGAAAGCCGACCGCAAGCGCTTGAAGGGGGAGAAGACAGACCTGGTGAGCCAGATGCAGCAGCTGTACGCCACGCTGGAGAGCCGGGAGGAGCAGCTCCGGGACTTCATCCGCAACTACGAGCAGCACAGGAAAGTGAGTGTGGGAGCCCAGCACCATGGTCTCGTGGCACGGGGGGCTGGCAGCGAGTTGAGTGTGAAACCTGGTTTGTAATCAGGCCAAAACCCTCTAAAATCTCAGCTGGGCTCTTGCTGGGGCTGGGGTGGACCACGGCAGGTTGAGCTTGAGATTAGCTCAGTTAGTTAGAGCACACTGCTAATAACACCAAGGCTGTGGGTTTGATCCCAGTATGACCTTAAGAGTTGGACTCAATGATCCTTGTGGGTCCCTTCCAACTCAGAATATTCTGTGATTCTGTGAAATACCAGAGGGAATGGAGCCAGACATGCGAAATCCTGTGTAATTTTAACAAGGTGCTCAGTGAGCATTGCTTTTTGGGGGACTGGCTGCATCCTGGTGCTCCCCAAAAAGGGATGCCCTCCCTGCCAGCACAGGGTTCTCGTGACCCCAAAGGTACCGCTCGTGGCTGGGTGGTCCCTGAGAGGGTCATTGCAGAGGGGTTTGTGATAGCACATGGATTTTCCCTTCCTGATGGCCACCCCGTGTCCTGGCAGGAGAGCGAGGACGCAGTGAAAGCCCTGGCGAAGGAGAAGGACCTCCTGGAGCGGGAGAAGTGGGAGCTGCGGCGACAAGCCAAGGAGGCGACGGACCACGCCAGTGCCCTCCGCTCCCAGCTCGACCTGAAGGACAACCGAATGAAGGAGCTGGAGGCCGAGCTGGCCATGGTGAGCTGGGGGACTGATACAAACCTGAGGGGTTGCTGCAGTGGCTGCATTACTGCAACACTGGGGAGGAAAAAATTCCATCGCTAGAAAGAAGGACTCACCTTGAGTCCCTCACCTTGAGTCCCTCACCTTGAGTTCTGTGTGCAGCTTTGGGCACCACAGTATAGAAAAGACATTACTAGATAGCATCTAAAGGAGAGCCAGGAGGATGGGGAAGGGTTTGGAGGGGAAGCCTTATGAGAAATGCTGAGGGCAGTTGGTTTGTTCAGCCTGGAGAGGGGGAAACTGAGGGGTGACATCGTTGTAGTCTTCAGCATCCTCCTGAGGGGCAGTGCAGGTGCAGGTACCCATCTCTTCACTTTTGTGACCAGTGACAGGACTTGAAATGGCTGGAGTTGAGTTGGAGGAGGTTTAGGTTGGATATCAGGAAAATGTTTTTCACCCAGAGGGTGGCTGAGCACTGGAACAGGCTCCCCAGGGAAGTGGTCACAGCACCAGGACTGTCTGAGTTGAAGAAGCGTTTGGACAATGCTCTCAGGCACGTGGTGGGATTGTTGGGGTGTCCTGCACAGGGCCAGGAGTTGGACTCAATGATCCTGATGGATCCCTTCCAACTCACCATATTCTCTGGTTCTGTGATCCTTAGCACAGGTTACAGCACAGTTTGGGTATTTACTTGCCCGGGGGTGGGTGAGTTGGGTGCAATGTGTTGCTGCTTATTCTGCTGCTCCAGGAGATGTTCATATGGTTTTCCTGCTCCATCACCACCACCTTGGTGTCCTCCCCCAGGCCAAGCAATCCCTGGCCACGCTGACCAAGGACGTCCCCAAGCGCCATTCCTTGGCCATGCCGGGCGAGACGGTGCTGAACGGGAACCAGGAGTGGGTGATGCAGGCTGACCTCCCGCTGACCGCCGCCATCCGGCAGAGCCAGCAGACCCTCTACCACTCACACCCCCAGCACTCGGCGGACCGGCAAGGTGGGCAGGTCCTTATTGCCAAACCCCCTTACGGGGAGGAAAAAAACGGCTAAACCCCTCCCTAAATAGTTTTTTTAGATGTGAATCAGAGGCTCTGCCGGGTTTGCTGGCGTGGTTTTAACTCCCCGTGTCCCTCCCTGCCTTGCAGCGGTCAGAGTGAGCCCCTGCCATTCCCGGCAGCCGTCCATCATCTCCGACGCCTCCGCGGCCGAGGGCGACCGGTCGTCCACGCCGAGCGACATCAACTCCCCCCGGCATCGAACACACTCGCTCTGCAACGTAAGGCACTGTGGGGTGGGGGGCTTGCTGCCCCAGGAACGGGCTCCGGGGGTTCTGCGAGTCCTCTGCTTCCCAAAACAACGTTGGGGTTGGGGTGTGGGGCAACCTGGAGCTTTGCTGACCCCGAAAGGTGCTTTCCTGGGGTTTTATCCAAGCCCCACCGCAGTTCAGCTGCCCAAACAAGCTGCTTTTTGCCATGGAAGTGGGAGGTCTCGGGCTATGTTGGGGCTGATCCAATGGATCCGTCTCTTTCTGCCACAGGGGGACAGTCCTGGACCGGTACAGAAGAACTTGCACAACCCAATCGTACAGGTAGGGCACAAATCCTCTCAAATCCTGCTCGTGAGAACCCCCTCCTGTGCTAGAAAACACTTTGGGGGGGCTCAGAGGCACCACTTTGGGGTCTTTCAAAAAATGAATTGAAGTCATCTTGAATTGTGAATCTTTGATGTCTCAGATTCCCATAATTTGCCCCAAAATCCGTGTAATGCCTTAGGCATTTGCTGTGCTCAGGGCCCTTTGGGGTCTTGATTTTTGTAAGGCACAGGCAAAGCAGGTTATTCTTCTGGTTTTGACCCTAAACCCTTGGGATATTTTTTCAAGCTGTGGACAGACCCTTGTTCTGATCTATTCCTGGAGCCAAAATCCTGAACCAGTTGAGTTAAGCCAAAATCCCAGAAACTGGGGGGGGGGGGAGCTGTTCCAATTTTGCTGCAAATTCCACCACACGAATTTCAGGAACATTATTTTATTTCGGTCCAGCACCTTAACATTGCTCTGGACCTGGATGCAAATATTTTTTTGGGGGGGATCTGGACGCAAATACTTTTCGGGACCTGGACTCAAATATTATTTGCATCTGGGACCGCGTGGTCCGTCATCCCCGATGTGAGCGGGTGGGGAGGGGCGAAGGAAGAGCTGGATACCCACACCCGTGTCCTCTCCTCCCACAGTCTCTAGAGGACCTGGAAGACCAAAAACGGAAAAAGAAGAAAGAGAAGATGGGCTTTGGCTCCATCTCCAGGGTGTTTGCCCGGGGGAAGCAGCGCAAGTCCCTCGACCCGGGGCTCTTCGACGGGACGGCCCCCGACTACTACATCGAGGAGGACGCGGACTGGTGACCCCCCGTGCCGGGCGGTGCCACTGTACATATCCCCCACCTGTGGACGTGTTACCTGTTGTCTTGGGAGCGATGCAGCTGTGTCGTAACTTCAGTTTTTCCCCTTTTTTTTTTTTTTTCTTTTTCCGTGTTTTTTTCATTTTTTTTTCCCATCCCGGTAACTCCTTTTGTTGTCGCTTCAGTTTGTCAGTTTTGGGGGGGAGGTGTTTTTTCGTTTTGTTTTGGGTTTGGTGGTTTTGTTTGTTTTTTTGTTGTTTTTTTTTTTGTCGTCGTTGTTCTTTTCTCCTTCTTCTTTTGACAAAACTTGAAACTTGAAGGACTGCTGTGTCTCTGTAAATACCAGAAATATCGTGCACTTTGTGCTTGTGACGTCTCCTGTCCGAAACCCGCTGTTTTCCGGAGCCCAGCCCGCGGGATGTCCTCGCCTGGGGACGAAGGACCTGCCCAGCTGAGGGACCTTAGAGGGAAAACACACAAAACCAACAACAACAACAAAAGATCTCCTTCGCTGTGATGTCTTCCTGGCCGAGCACCCGGGCTGGTTGTAACGCCTGCCGGTCTGGAAATAAGTGTTTTAACGTTCCTTTTTAGTTGTTTTAATTTATTTGCACAAACCCAGAGGAGCTATTCTAACTAAATTATTGCAGAAGTTTTGGGATTTTTATATTTTTCCACGTCGGTTGGGATGGGGTGGGAGGAGGAAGGGGGTGTTTGTACTGTATTGTCCTGGGAAGCTGCTGTTGGGGAGGGAAGGGGGGAATTGGGGGGTGTCGGAGCCGTGGACCCCCCCCACCCCGGGGCTCCCTCGGCTGCCCCAGGAGCACTTAACGCCTTGGAAAACGCAAACCTAAAAACGTGCCGGGAAATCCGACGGGGGGGAAGCTGGTGGGAGCTTTGCCTGCTGTTTTTCCCTGCTTTTGAGGGCCTCACCCTTTGCTTCAAGTAAAATTTAGGGGGATCCGGCATGAGCTGGGAGCAGGGGAAAGGGGATATCCCGAGATATATCCCTTATCCCAGGACGTTTCTCAGACAGGGCCGGCCACCCCACTCCAGTTTGGGATGTTACCGCCGCCATGGGGGGGGGGGGTGGGCACGGGGAAATCGGTACGAATTCCTGCCGGGGAGGTTTTTCTGGCTCTGGGGTGATTTTTGAAGCACAGGTGGAGCTTGTGCTTCCAAAAAAACCCCTTGGAAACGCCCCGAAACCACCTCCCCCGGCGCGGCGACCGCTTCCCCTCTCCACTAACACGCGCCCGCGCGCTCTCCGCTTATGCCAAGATAAGTACCTTATGCTTTAATGCTTATGATATAATTTTAAGCTCTTAAAAAAAAAAAATGTATTAAGATTTATTTAATGAACTATAATAGTGTATTATTTTTCTTAATCCCGACACGCGCCGCGCCCTGGTTGAGATAAAAAAGGGGTGTTTTGTCTCAAATCGCCGATGCCCTCGCGCCGTGTGTTCCTGCTCATGGGATGATGCAGAGAGGCCGTGGAGGGGGTGTCAGAGGGACCAGCCCCCCCAGGCTCCCCTGGGGTGGCAGGGCAGGCTTTGCCCCGTGGCATCTTTTCTCTGCAGAGAAGCATTTTTATACATTTTGTTCTTTTTTTTTGGGGGGGTGTTTTTTGTTCTGTTGTTTTTTTGGTTTTTTTTTTTTTGGTTCTCCTTGCGTTTTTATAATTTAAACTCTAAACCAACCAGAAGAGATGAGCAATCTCCTTGTTACCGAGTAGTTTCCTTTGCATTTCAGCTTTTTTGTAAATTAGGAAATAATTCTAAAAATTACTAAGAGGATGATTTATTTAAAAGAGAACTTCGCTAAATAGCATATGAATTATGGGTAACATTAGATTTAACTTTTCCCCCCGTGAGCGGGGGAGAATCCTTGAAGGCATGGATGCAAATATAAAATTATAAAAGATCTAAATAAAGCTTATTTTAAAGTACAGATGAACTCCACGTGGTTTTGTTGCTTGGCAGATGGAGAGCCTGGGCTGGTGTTGGGATTGGGGTGCAGGACACCCCGAATGCCACATGAATTTGGGGGGCTCCAGGGTGATGGGGGAATGCAGGAGAAGCTGGACCAGCTGCCAGGCAAGTGCTTGCACCTGGATGCAGCGATCCTGGCAGGAGGCTGGGACAGTCTCCATCCGTATAAAATGGGGATTTTCAAGGGTTTGAGGTAAGTAAAGATCTGGGAATGTGGGTGAACAGCCAGGAGATGTCCCCCTCACATACAGAAGGACAAAGAAAAGGAGAAGGGATGGAGAAATAAGAAAATGTTGTGCTCTAACTTTTATTAATGGATAAATTATTGATATTAATTTACAGATTGATAAATGATTATAATAATATATAATTATAGTTATAATAGTGGCAACTATAAATAATAAATAATAATTATTATTCCTATTATTATTTCAATTACACTGGTCACTTGTAGGGCTGTGCCAGCACTGCAGAGGGGCCTGACACCATTTTGGGGTCAATTGCTGTGTTTGCCAGAGCAAAGACAACTTGCAGTGATTTTCTTGTTCTTTGAGCCTACAATGAGGGTACAGATGAAGAGATGTACCTTTTCTTCTTTTTTTTCCAACAGAAACAGCCTTCTGGGTTTGGGAGAAGCTGCAGAGGAGGTAAGAGCCACCATCGTCTGAAATGGAGAGAGTTGAAGCAAAGAAAAATAGGAAAAACTCAGGAGAAGCCAGCTGGCTCTCCAGCAGCTGGAATCCAGCACTAATGGGAATTAAATGTGGCATTAAAGGGTAACTGCTGAGCACGGCAGACATGAGCTGGGCACAGACAGGAGTGGGATTTGCTGCATTTGAAGGAATTCCCTGCAAATACTTGGTGTTTCCCTTCGTGTATGGGATGGGGTGTGGGTGTGCATCCATCCCATCCGTGGTTTTAAAAGCTCTGCCCTTTGGGAGCCAGGGATGTGGCAGAGCTGTGGGTGTCACACCAGTCCTGGCAAGGCTTCTGCTGTTCACCAGTTCTGTCCCAGTGCCGTGGGGACCCTGCTGGACCCTGGGGAGGGGGACACGGGTGTCACCTCCTGCTCCAGAGCCACGGCAAGCAAAGGGACCTCATTCCCTGGATCTAGGAGTGATGTCCTGGGCTGAGGGGGGGCCTCCTTGGTGGCTTTATCCCTCCCAGTCTGC